TAGATCACCAGAATCTCTGAACCAAAGCATCTCAGATCTGAAAGAATGTGTAGTTCAACCTCCCTATTTCCCAGTGCAAAAATCCCCTTTTCAAGTTCCAAAATGGACAGACATCCCACTGTATTTTTTGCATACCCCCTGAGACAGGGGGGCTCATCCCCTCTGTTCTTGGTCAGCTCTGACTGATGACAAGGTCTTCCTTTAGAGTTAAACTGTCTCCTCTTGGCTGCCACTTATAGGTCCTACCTTTGAGGCCCCGCTGAACCCCTTCAGATCTGAAGTTTGTATCAATATGTCCTTGAAAAAATATGTCCTTGAGTCTGTCCTTTCTGGGTCAAACATTCCCATTCTGACTTCCTTTCCTTTTTTTTAACTCTGCACCCCATTACCTTGCCCCTTCTATGGGTGGGAATTCCAAGTCTTAGAGAAGATAAATCACTTTCTAGGTTTCTGGATTTGATTCAAATGCTGGGAGCCGCACTGGCCTCGCTGGATGACGGTCACAGTGACGAAATGTTAGTGTTTGCACAGCTCCTGCCATAAGAAATGAAAATTGGTATCTCCTTCTGCCACTACTGGCTCATGTTGGAAATGAGGCTGCGGGTATTGACCAGGCCTCACAATATTCCAGATCAGACCAATATTCCCCACACAGATTCCTCATAAGGAAAAGCATATTCCTGCCTTTTCAAAAGAGATTCCAGATGAAAGCACTGTGGATGATTGTCAAAAGGCTCTTCCTATGGGCCTTGCAGATCCAAGACTTAGATAATAAAGGAGGTTAAGAACACAAGAGTTACAACTGAGTCTGGCCCAGAGACAAAGAGCCTAATTTAGAGTTAAGGACAGATATCCACCCCCACCCATTGTTTCTGCTTGGAGCTCCTGCCCCCCAAGGCATTTGTGATCAGTATTTGGAGTGATTTATTCTGGCCTTGAATATGCTGACTGCTCCCTGTGAAGGAACCTATTGAGGAACTTTTTCTTTTGTGATGATGGGAGCAAACATTGTGTTTCCTGAAAGACCTATTTTTCTTTATACTTCTCCTGAAACAAACAAGCTATTGACCCCTGCTCACAAAGAACTAGCTTCATCCTCTTTATGCTAAAAACATTGTCTTGTATGCTAAAGATACTTCCCTTCCCCATAGGATAAGCATCTAAATCACCTACCTGAATCACTGTTGATAAAGGTTATGCAGGAGTCTTCTACAAATCTATGTTCCAGGAAATTCTTACGTATCAAAGAAGTGTGTCCTCAGAAATCATTCTCTAAGGCAAATGCCACTTCTGTGCCATCCCTCAAACACTTAAATATAAAATAAAGTTGAGCCCCAGTCAGAGCAGAGGTGCCTGCCTGGTGACCAGAAGGACTCTCGGGGCCTCTCATCCCTCCCTTTCCGACACCGTCCATCCTTCAGGGACCCCTGGACCCGGCTGGAACTGACCTCCGACATTCAAATACAGACTTGACGTTTTCCAAGGTCTATCTGCTTTACTCGGGGCTGAATGGAGACACGCAGACCCGCTCTCTAAGCTAGTAATATTTTGGTGTCTCTTTAAATGACTATTCTTTTAAAGAACACATTTTGAGATATAATTCACACGCCACACGTTTTACCCACAGTGTCTTCACTGAGCTGTGCAGCCGCCACCACAGTCTAAGGTCTGGATATTTTTGTCACTCATAAAGAAATCCTGTACGCACTGAGTCTCTCCCCCATTGCATTTGGTGTCATATCTAAGAAACCTTGCCTGATCCAAGGTCATGAATATACTCCCATCTTGTTTTCTCAGAGTTTTATAGTGTTAGCTTTTACATTCGGTCTTTGGTCCATTTTGAGTTAACTTTTACCTATGATGTGAGGTTGGGATCCACTTCATTGTTTTCACATGCGGATGTCGAGTTGTCCCAGCATTAAATAAATCTTCCGAAATATTTGCTCAATGTTCATTCGGGGACGGGGTGGGGGACTTTTGTGGCGGGAGGGTCTATTTGTGACAGCACCCCACCTCTCCTGTCCTAAGCAGTTCAGTCCCGCCCAAACTTGCACCTTTCTTCAGCAAAGCTAAAGTCCATGCTTCAGGAGACCCAGCCTGTCCTGAAGCCAGGTTGAATTATAAGAAGTGATTACATGATCATAACCTCATTCCAAGGGATCTACCAAAGTGTGATTTCCAGTTTCATATTAAGGTTTGGTGAGGCTCAGTTTTTTTCTCTGGCTTTCTTTCTCTCCTGTCATTTTTTGGGTGTTTTTGTGCCTTAGCAGCTGAGCTGTGCGTCCACCCTTGAATCTGACCCCGACCAAATGATTTCTGTAAGCAGTCGGAAGCATGATTCAAGCACCTTCCCACATGATAGAAGAGTGTTCCTCAAAAAGAACACCCCAAAAGCAAACCAGTGCCAAGGAAAACAAACCACTGCAGCTTTGGAGAGAGGGCAGAGGCCATCAGGATGGTGTATATCGCTGGAGAGACTGGGAACTGGGTAAGGAGCGTCCTTCAGGATTGCGTATGCAGTAGGGAAAGGGAGGCTGGCGAAGGAACGCAATGCCTTTCCATCTCCAAGCACCCAGCCTGGTCTAGATCGAGTCTGGGTCAGATAATCATCTTATTACAGGGATTCTCTGGGCTCTGGATGCCATGTTTTGCCCCTCCACTTTCACTTCTGTAAGACCTCGCTAATACTTGACATGTACCAGCTTCGAACCCTGTGAAATTCCTGTCTCCCTTCTTCCATCCGCTACACTCTTTTCTATCCCTCTGGGTGCCAGGCTGGTTTTCCCACGTTTGAGTCTTTGCACTAACTGCTCCCTGAGCCTGGAATGTTCTCCCCTAGTGTTTAGCCTAGCTGGCGCCTACTTATCCTTGAGGGCTCAGTTAAATGTCTCTACCTCTAAGAAGCCTCTGACCACCTGTGCTCATCCTGGGTGTTCTTACCTCCAGATCTTCTTTTGTCCCTCTGCCTCTCTGGTTTGTCTCTTAAGGGGGCTGGCTTGCAGCAGAGGTCAGTCCCTGAGCGTGCTAGCAGGGGACTGGGAGCCCACAGGACAGTCAGGGAATGATTCCCCCTCCCGTCTGACCCAGGTAGCTTCCTGGTTCTGTCTCCACGATTCCAGCTTCCACATAGTGACCTCACACTCTGGTTTGGGGAACAACCCCTTCACTCTTCACCCCTGCAGCCCAGGTGTGGACACGACTTCCTGCCAGGATGCACCTTGCCTCATTCACTCTTTCCTGTCTGGCCCTCAGCAACCTTCATCGGCCATGGAAACAATTCTCTGGGTTTGATTTCCTGGTTAGACCTTAACTGATAGCCCTCCCAAGCTAAATCGTACCCCCAAATTCTTGTTGAGTTCAAAGGACATGGAGCCTTTCCCCTCAAGCTGCCCCTCAGGTGGAAGGATAGAGGGTTCCTTCTTCCCAGGTTCTTTCTGGTTCTGACAGTCAGTCAGAAGTCTGAGCTTCACCTGTGTGCCTTTCATTGGGAGCCGACCTGGGGTAGGTGAGTTACTCTGGTTTGTGGGACATGGAGGGGTGTCCTCGCTGGGCTCCCCTGACTCATGGCCAACTGAGCTGCTCAGCTGTACTTGTAGAGCAAGCTGGGGTCAGGCACACGGACCTGCAGCCCCTAAGGGCAGGGAAAGGTGTCAGCTGTCCCTGCCGCAGGCTGGCAGTGTCCCTATACATTGGGCAGGTGGCTCACTGGAGCTTCTTGTCCACTCTTAATCCAGGTGCTGAGCTTGTCTTGGTGCTGAGGTTGCCGTCTCTTGCGCATTGCCCATCTGATGTAGATTCATGCTGTCCTGTGCCCTGGCTCTGGGTAGAAGCCGCCTTGTGAGTTACTGAAAGACTAAACTTCGCAGAATGCCTGATACTTAGGGCTTTGTACTGTTGGGCATCCTGGGATTGTCATTGGGATTCCTAGAATGTGCTGGTCCTTCGCTCAGCTCTTTGCAGGGGGCACTTCAGTTCATCTCATTGAATCCTCACTGCCACCCCATGGTGCAGACGCAGCTGTCACCTCCATGTTGCCAATGATGACGGAACATGTTCCGGGGGCAGGGAGGCCCCCTGCCCGAAGTCTAATAGCATGTCAGAAGCTGAGCTAGAAGGAGGTTCTACCTGAATCAGTCTGGGGAAGGAGCAGCTGGGAGTCTCTGTAAAACCATGGACTTTACCATCTTCTTTGGAATCACACAGCGGAATGCCTCGTCTAGCTATTCCTCCCTCCCACCCACCATCTTACAGGTGGAATTCTTGAGGCCTCTAGAAGTTACAGGATTCACTCCGTGTCCTCTGCAAATCCAGGCTCTACCTGTTGCCCTTCCCAGATTTTTTTACATGTTTATTTTTGAGAGACAGAGCATGAGCAGGGGAGGGACAGAGAGAGAGGGAGACACAGAATCCGAAGCAGGCTCCAGGCTCTGAGCTGTCAGCACAGAGCCCAACACGGGGCCTGAACTCAAGGAACTGCAAGATCGTGACCTGAGCCGATGTCAGATGCTTAAATGACTGAGCCACCCAGGTGCCCCATGACCCTTCCTAGATTTTTAAGCCCCCAGAGCCTGGGGGAGAGGGGATAGGGGTGGGGACATTGGCTCCTGATGGGAAGGGAAAAGGGGTGGGGGGAGACCTCAAACAAGAATAATGTGGGGCAGGGCTGGCCAAGAGGCTTAGCAATAATAGGCTCCTTGCTGGTCTTCCTTCTGAAACCGGAAGAGGAGGCTCTGGGTCACTGCACAGAGGTGAGTGTAAGCCTGCAGGAGAGCTGTTGATCATCCCAGCTGTTGCCCCATCCCAGCTGAGGTGGGGCAGCTCCAAAGTCATGGCTTCAGCCCAGGAGGGTCAGCAGGTGAAATGGCGAGAGCTCAGAAGACCACAGAGGGAGGGTAGGGAGAGGGTGGGGACGGGATGTGCCTGGACACCAGGTGACAGTGACGTAGACAGCGCAACTTCAGTGAGACATTTAAATCTCCGACGGAGAGCAGAGACACGGCCTGAGGAGAGACGAGCTCGTGCTCTGAGGCAGTGGAACCGGCTCGTAAAGGAAGCCCGAGGTCCTGATTCTGCTCCAGGTTAGCTGAGTCATCTGGAGACCTTGAGCACCAGGATTCTCCATCTGTGAAGCACGGACGGTGGGTGACGGGGTTGCCGGGGTCCCTCAACCCTGATCCTTGCTGACGTCCACTTCTAATAGGCATCCGACTTTTCCCCCTGTGTCCGCTATATGGGTGACCCAGAAAGGCTCGTTCTTGGGGCCCTGAGGCTTGGAGGGACAGCCCCTGAGCTCCGTGCTAAGCTCTGATGTTCCTGCAGGTATTTCCCGGAAGCTCGGGACGCCATAGACCCCAGTGCCCTGGGCTGTGCCTCAGGAAGCAGGTCGCGATGGACGCCAAGTAAGTCTGGGTGTGGAGTGGGGACCGTGGTGCAGCCCTAACTGCTGAGTCGGAAGGACCCTGGCTGCAGAGTGCCGTCACTGTGGTCTCAGGGATGCATGGCCAACAGCTGGGGCCAGGGGCTGCTCGAGGGAGCTCAGGTGCCAGTCCTAGCTTGGCCACCGGCTTCTTGGTGACCGTGGGCTACTCTCCTCCCTTCTCTGAGCCTCCTGTCCCTGTGTGTACAATGGGGTTGCTGGACGAGATCATCTCTTGGGCCTCAGCTCTAAATCCCATAATCTGAAGATCTTGAACTCCTCGCTTATCCTTCCTGCGCCTCTGTTTTCTCACCTGAGAATGGGGACATGTGTGTGAAGGAGCCTTGGGGAGGATACCAACCCTCTATTCCATACGCATGGTGTGTGCACCTGGCCTGGGCTTCCACCATGTCTCTGAAGAGACCAGGCCAGCGGCCCATGCTACAGGTGGGAAAATTCACCAGGGCGCCGTGGGGCTCTCTGTGGCTGAATGTGAGGGCCGAGGACTGGCTGGCTTGGGAACTCTGGCCCCTGGGGCTTGCAGGGAGCTGGGAGAAGAGGAGGCCAGGTCCTTAGAGCAAGACTTTTCCAGGATGCCGGGACTGTGCCTGGCGGAGGGAGCTTCTGGAGAGTCGGGCACGAGCACCCACCTTGGGAACCTGAAGGAGAGTGAAGAACCCTCTGGAAGCCTGTGGCCAAAGGAGCTCATCACGCTAGAGCCTGGGGAATCTGCCTGGCAGGTGGTCCTGAAGAAGATTCAGGAGCTCTCTGATTCAGTAAGGAGGGAGAGGGAGGAAGGGGCAGGGGTGAAAGGGAGGGAGGAGCAGAGAGGGGGAGACGCGGTCCCTACTTTGGCGGACAGGAAATAAGACTTTAAGTTTTGTGGTTTAATAGGTCAGTTTACTAGGATTTACTCCAAGCCTCAGTTCTAGTGGGGTTCAGGGAATAGTTTTCTCTGTCACCTTCTCGCACCTTCCATTGCCACATGGAATTTTACCCAGTGCCGGGCTCCCTAGTTGAGGGTTGGAGCCGTTGTGTCCCCGCTTTGATCTACAAAGATGATTGCCCTCATGTCTCCCTGTTTACAATGTTTTTTAATGTTTATCTATTTTTGAGAGAGACAGAGTGTGAGTGGGGGAGGGGCAGAGAGAGAGAGAGGGAGACACAGAATCCAAAGCAGGCTCCAGGCTCTGAGCTGTCAGCACAGAGCCCGACGCGGGGCTTGAACCCATGAGCCGTGAGATCATGACCTGAGCTGAAGTCGGACACTTAACTGACTGAGCCGCCCAGGCGCCCCCATGTCTCCCTGTTTAAAGCATTAGAAGATCTGGGGCCAGGGGGCGCCTGGGTGGCTCAGTCAGTTCCTTGTCCAACTCTTAGTTTCGGCTCAGGTCATGATCTCTTGGTTCATGAGACTGAGCCCTGTGTCGGGCTCTGCACTGACAGTGAGGAGCCTGATGGGGATTCTCTCTCCTTCTCTCTCTCTGTTCCTCCCCCATTCCCTCTCTCTTTCTCAATAAACAAACAAACAAAGAAACAAACAAACAAAAGATCTGGGGTCAAATCCTGTCTTGTACTTGCTCTATGACCTTGAACCAGTGACTTCGTGTTTCTGAGCCCGTTTCCCCATCTCTAAAACGGTGATAACAATAGCACTCACCGCAGAGAGTTACCGTGAAGACGAGGTGAGGCGCCCACGACCCAGCCTCCCTTCCCTCCCCCTGCCCTTCCAGGACCACCGGGACTCCTTCATGGTAGGCAACCTGGGTGTGCTGGCCAGCCGCCATCGGGCCTTCTGCCAGGCCCTGCCGCGGGTATCACCCTTCTACGCGGTCAAGTGCAACAACAGCGCGTGGGTGCTGCGCGTCCTGGCCTCCCTGGGCACCGGCTTCGACTGCGCCAGCCAGGTGAGCCTATGTCCGCTGCTGCCAACAGGCCTGACCCTTGCTGGGGGAGAAGGCCAGCTGCTAGGGACCTCGGGCTGGGGTCTGCGGCACCTCGAACAGTGGCTGACACTTGTCTCTGAAGGAATGAATGAATGAATTATGCATGGTCAGCCTTCCACTGGGCCATGTGCCAGTCAAGGGCAGCCCCTTGTGTTCATGCCCAGGGTTCCTGCCCCCAAGAGTGGAGGGGAGCAGGAAGACCTCCCGACTCTGTCACCCACGCCAGGTGGAGCTGGAGCAGGTGTTGGGCCTGGGCGTGGCCCCTTCACGCATCATCTACGCCAACCCCTGCAAGCCTATCTCCCACATCCAGTACGCTGCCCGCCACGGGGTGCAGCTCCTGACCTTCGACAGTGAGGAGGAGCTGACCAAGGTGGCCCAGCACTACCCAGGGGCCAGGTGAGAGCAGCAGGGCGGGGTGGGGGGGATGCAGGCAGGAGGCGACAGGCAGAGCAAGGGCCAGCCTTCTGGGGCCCCTACCAGGGGAGCTGGGCCTCTGTGACAGATGAAGGTGGTCCCATGGGGTGACCTGGGAGACAGGCTCAAGCAGCAAAGAAGAAGAATTTGAGTCAGTGGGCCCCATGCCTTCCCTGCTACACACCACTGGGAAAACACATTGCGTATGTCTGCATAGACCCTGGGCAGGCCTTAGGAGGTCTAGGGTCGGGGGACTTTATGGAAAAAACACTCACATCAGAGTCAGGGAGACCTGGGCTCACATTTCAGATTCCTTTGCACATGCTGTGTGGTCTTGGGAAAGTTAGCTAACATCTCTGATGCTGCACCATGGAGACCTGCAGAGAAGGTGTAGTTATCATTTTATCGCTTTCCTGCTTTTCCTTGCCTGGGCAAAAGTCTGTAAGTGTTGAGGGTTTTAGTTCTTTGGGACCCCGTGGCTGGACAGTCCAGGGGAACTAGTCAGGGGCGGGTGGAGAAATGGAGAGAGATTGGGTGCAGGGGTGGGTGTGATAAACCATCCAGGCTTCGGGGCTCATGTGTCTAAGAGCCCTTCGCATCTTTCACACCCCCTCCCAGGCTGGTCCTCCGGCTGTGGACCCAGGACAGCGGGAGCATCCTTCCCCTGAGCACCAAGTTCGGGGCAAGACTGGAGGCGTGTGAACATCTGCTCAAGTCCGCCAGGGACCTGGGGTTGGCTGTGGTCGGAACCAGGTGAGAGCGCGGGCTCTGCCTGCCTGTGAAGCACAGCCAGCCTCCTGGGCTGTCGCGCAGGCCCCTGGGCCTCAGAACGCTCTGTTTGTCCTCAGCAAGGGGGCTGGATGTTGTCTGGGACTCCGTGGGGGAGGGGGCAAGCAAGGCACTCGCCTGGGGTGCAAGATTTAAGGGGACGCCAGAGCACTTAGGACTCCAGATAAATAACATTTTAATACAATGTTTTTCAAAAAATGCAACTCCACGATGAGGAAAATATCAAAATTTTGATTTAAACTTAAAATTTCTGTATTTTATCCGTTGTGCCTGTTTTGCACCAATTTTGCTTTTTTTTAATGTTTTTTATTTATTTCTGAGAGAGAGAGAGACAATGTGAGCAGGGGGGGGTCAGAGAGAGAGGGAGACACAGAATCTGAAACAGGCTCCAGGATCTGAGCTGGCTGTCAGCACAGAGCCCGACGCGGGGCTTGAACCCACGAACTGTGAGATCATGACCTGAGCCAAAGTCAGATGCTTAACCGACTGAGCCACCCAGGCGCCCCACCAATTTTGCTTTTAAAAAGTACCGTGGGGCGCCTGGGTGACTCAGTCGGTTAAGCGTTTGACTTTGGCTCAGGTCATGATCTCACGGTTTGTGAGTTCGAGCCCTGTGTGGGGCTCTGTGCTGAGAGCCCAGAGCCTGGAGCCTGCTTCGGATTCTGTGTCTCCCTCTCTCTCTCTGCCCCTCCCCCACTTGTGCCATCTGTGTGTGTGTGTTTCTCTCTCTCAAAAATGAGTACACATTTAAAAAAATTGAAGCGAAATTGAAGCAAAATATTGCATTAAAGGTTATTTAGCTTGCTGGCTTAGTGTTTTGGCACTGCTGTATGTTTTGCCCCCAAGGAGAAGCCCTCGCTTGCCTCACCCCACCCGGCACTGGTGGTCCCCCAACCCACCCTGCTTGTGGGTGCCCCGCGATTTGGGGTTCTGTTCACAGAAGGGGGGCCCTGCAATGCGGGCGCTGGGAGGCAGCATCGAGAAGTGACTCCAGGGCTGTTCCATGCAGTGTGTGTGTCTCAGGGGACACGCACATGTGTGTCCGAGGCTGTGTGTTTCTGGGCCGGTGTGGTCACACTTGTCTTCGTGTGTGTCCCTTGTTGGTGTTTCTGAAGGTCCCTTTTCATTTTTTTTTTTAATGTTTATTTTTGAGTGAGAGAGAGAAGCAGAGCGTGAACAGGGGAGGGGCAGAGAGAGAGAGGGAGGGAGACACAGATTCGGAAGCAGGCTGCAGGCTCTGAGCAGTCAGCACAGAGCCCGACGTGAGGCTCCAACTCAAGATCCATGTGATTACGACCTGAGCCCAAGTCGGACGCTCAACTGACCGAGCCGCCCAGATGCCCCTGACTGCCGTCTTCTTACTGACTCTTGTGTTTCCATGCATGTTTCTCCACGTGTCGTTTGACACGTGTGTAGCTTCCACGTGGGCTCGAACTGCCAGACGCCCCACAGCTTCATGGAGGCCATCGCTGACTGCCGGCACGTATTTGAGATGGGCCGTGCGCTTGGGCATGACATGAGCCTCCTGGACATCGGAGGGGGCTTCCCCGGAGAGGAAGGCTGTGAGCCTAAGTTTGAGGAGGTCAGTTTGTGTGCGGGGGGAGTTCTTGGAACTGAGTCACATGCATGCACGTAGCTGACATTTGTCTTTGTTGACGAAGCCACGATCTTACATGCCTGGTCTGTATGCACGTACAAGCATGTGGGTGTCTAGCTCCATTTTAGACGTGTTAGTTCCTATCCCTGGGTAAGCTGTGGTCAGGTAGAAGTTCACTATCTCCTGATCCAGGACACAGTCCATCTTTGCTGACCATGTATTGACTGCAGTGGTTCCAAATTCAGACAGAGTGCTAGAGCCTATGCACTTGCTGTGTGTCCTTGGACAAGTCATGTCCCCTCTTTGGGCCACCATTTCTGTTTCCTCGCTGGTGAAGTGGGGATGATACCACTTCCCACAGTGCTGTTATGGGAAGGAAGGGGAATGATGCAGGTCCCCACATCAGGGACCGGTCAGATTAGGGTCCCTCTGTCCCTGTAGATGGCGAGAGTGATCAATGACGCCCTGGCCCAGGACTTCCCCGAGGGGAGTGGCGTTGAGATCATCGCGGAGCCTGGACGCTTCTACGCGGAATCTGTCTGCACGGCCGCCGTCAATATCATCGCCAAGAAAGCTGTGCTGGAGGCCGGTGCGTGGGCCAGCACTGGGTGGGGAGGGCACTGTCCTGGTGTCCCCAGGCCCTGGGGAAGAGGACGGACAGAGGGCCTGGGCTCCACCCCTCGTGCCTAATGGGTATAGGAATGAACCTGTTGATATCGCTGCTGTGTCATATTCTCAAACGGACTGGGAGGTAAAGAGTCAAGACCAAGCCTTCATTCTTCCTGAGCAGCCAGTGAATGTAGTTGTGTTTGTGGGGGCGGAGTCACACCGGCCACAGCTCAGGAGGTCACAGACACCACTGTGCCGCTGTTGTGCGTCTAAAACTCTGAGCACGTGCTTTCTAACAGGTGCAGATTCTTATAACGAAAAATATACCGAGTAAAGACAAACTCTTGTTTATTTATGTATTTCTAAGAGAAGGAGGGACAGAGTGAGCAAGTGGGGGAGGGACAGAAAGTGAGGGGGAGAGAGAGAGAGTCCCAAGAAGGCTCCGACGCAGGGCTCGAACCCACAAACCATGAGCTCATGACCTAACCCCCAAATCAAGAGTCTGAAGCTTAATTGACTGAGTCGCCCGGACGCCCTACGGAGTAAAACCGAATTCTTACAAGTATAGGAAGGCGATGTTGTCGCTGTCGTGGCCTGAAGGTTAAGGGTGACATCTACTGGAGTGATGGGAAACGTTTTTGCAATTGAGGCAGACCACCAGGGGAGAATTATTTGATTGTTATTTTTGGAGCAGGAGTGGGGTGGGGTGGCTGTTCTCAGTGCTCACAAAGTGAGCTAACCAGAAACTCAATTTCATGACAAGATAGAGAATATGAGTAGAACTCACCTACTCTTTATTCTGTGGCTTTGTAATAACTGACATATAAACACTTATAAATCCCTTTAATCTCCTCCCTTATCCTTGTGGCATAGGACAGGCCCACACCTTCTAATCCCAAGGCACTTCGGGCAACTGATTTCGCTTTCTCACAAAGCGTCTCATTAAAGAATATTCTGATAGGCAGCACACGGTCTGAGCCATCGTTTAACAAAAGTCCAAGTAATAAGTATTTGGGGCTTATTACTCTTATTACCACAATAATGACAGCTGCTGATGAAGTATCTATTATATATGAAATCCATAGTTTGTCTCATTTCTGCTCAACAATCCTCTGGGGGTAGTTTGGGGGGGGGGGGTCGTGCCCGTGTTACAGGTGAAAACACTGAGGCTCAGGGAGAGGAAGTGATTTATGTACTCAGCACAGCTAGTTAGCGGTGCAGCCGGGCCAAGCAGAGCTGAGCTCTCGGCCTCACGGATGTCATGACTAACTGGCTTAGGGATAACTGCACTGTGGTCATGAGAGACAGGATCAGTGACGGCAGGGGAGAGAGGGGAGAGGATGGGTTAACTAACAGCAGGGAGAAGATGGTGTGGAGAAGACAAGGCGGGGGGGACCGATATTCAGAAAAATGTGGGCATCTAAGTGGTAGCTGGCACGCCCCAAATGTTAACAGAGATCAGTGTACGCGGGGCGCCTGGTGGCTCAGTCAGTTAAGCAATGGACTCTTGGTTTTGGCTCACGTCATGATCTCACGGTTCGGGAGTTTGAGCCCCGCATCCGACTCTGTGATGACAGTGCGGAGCCCGCTTGGGAGTCTGTCTCTCCCTCTCTCTGCCCCTCCCCCTCCTCACTATCTCAAAACAAATTAAAAAATTAAAAAAACGGAGACAGTGTACAATCCTGAGTTTAGGTTCAAGAAAGTAATATTCTGCAGACAGACTAAGTGGCTGGGAAGAAACTCGCTTGGTAGTAGGTCATGTCCAACAGATCTCGGGGTCATGGATGACCTCAGCTCAGTAGACATGGGAGTGTGACAGCCACTACATGTGCTTACTTCAGCAACATCAATAGAGGCAGAGCATTTAGGTGGAGGGAGGTAAGAATCGTGCTCCACTTTGTGACTGTCAGTCAGGCACTCGTTCTAATGTATCTGAGGTTTATTTTAATCAGGTAACACAAGACAGGCAGACAAGGAAATAACCGTGCCGAAGGAAGAAAGCTTTAAGTCACAGAAGTAGGAGACTCGGCATGCCTCGCAGGGCCACGGGGGATGGGCCAGGTTGGGGCAGGAGCAGAAGAAGCAAGCAAACTCGGGGTGAGAGCCTCCAGTGTGGTTTTGGAGGGAAGGAATGGGTGAGGTGGGTAAGCTGGCTCGGCAGAGCGGGGGCAGCGGGAGCCCAGAAGACAGGCCTCTGCCGTGCATGGGCTCAGGAGGACCCCTGAAACAGAGAATAGGAGTTACCCAGCAGGGGGCAGCGGATCTGGGCCCCCCCCCAGGGTGCTGCGCTCAGGTGTTGTGTGCGGGTAGGCCAGCCGAGCACACCACCATCCTGCCCTTCCTCCCTCCCAGGAGGCCGCCAGAAACTGCTGTACTATCTCAACGATGGCCACTATGGCATCTTTCGCATCTTCCTCAGGGAGCCTGTCCCCAGGGTGCCCATTGTGGTGAAGGTAAGGGTGTGGCTTTGGCACTCCTGGATGCTAAAGCTACTAAGTCCAGCCCCCAGTCCTGAGAGGCAAGGGGTCCTGGCAGCGGGGGCTGGGGGTGGCGGGTAGTAAAGGAGCTCAGACTCTCTGTGGTTTGCACATCGTCATTCCACGTGCATGTACGAGGACACACGGGTGCCTGGGTGTATCTGCATGCGTGATTCTGTACGGGTGCATCTCTGTGTGCGCGCTGATTTGTGCTTGTGCAGGGAGACAGGTGCCGGGAGATGTATGCAGGGAGGCGGGTGCAAGTGCATGTGTCTGTTTCGCTATGTGCGTCTCCAGGTGCATCTCTCTACATGCACGCGCTTGTGTTTCCAGAATCCTTGAATGTTGGCAGTGCAGGAGGCTTAGGAAGGAGAGATTCTCATGCTTTGCTCCTCATGAAATCACCTGGGAAGCTTTACAAGACCCCAGTGCCCAGGCGATGACCTGGGCCGCTGAAATCAGAATTCCACATGGGTTGGGACCCTGGCGTCAGTCCTTTGTTAAAACTCCCCAGGTGATCCCAATGAGTGATTATTGAATAAAGTGTCCCCATCTGTGAATTGGCAGCGCTGGACTGTGCTCGCATCTGTTAATTGGCAGAGCTGGATGGTGTCGCTAGCGTGCAAACGGCATGAAGGCAGGGGTGGTCATTACGGGTGGCTCACTGTGTCCCTGCGGGCGCCTGCCTGCTGGGGCCCCGGGGGCAGGTCCTGCCAGTCCTGAGGAGCTGGCTGGGGGATCCGGATGGGGTTATTCCTTCTCTGAGCCCCTACCCTTTGCTCCCTGCAGGAGTTTTCCTCGGAGCCGCCCCTCTTCCCCTGCACCCTGTACGGTCCCACCTGCGATGCCTTTGACAAGCTCTTCCAAGAGGACGTGCAGCTGCCGGAGCTGGATGTGGGCGACTGGCTTGTCTTCCCCTCCATGGGCGCTTACACAACCACCATAAGCTCCGTCTTCAATGGCTATCTGCCCGCTTCTCCCTCCTATGCCATGGAGCCCGAGCTCAGGTGTCTGGAGGGGACAAGAAGGGATCTCAGCAGGGTCTGAGCTTGGCAAGGGGAGCTTGTGGCTAAGCTCTGGGGCCCTAAGCCCAAGAAATACCCTCCTCCTCCCCACTGGCCCCAGGAAAGCCCAAATGGTCTGATTTTTGACACTGGCCTCTGCCTTTGGCACTGACCCTGTCGCAGCCTCTCCCCCCAGGTAGGTGGAAGGTAGTCCAGCTGGGTGGCTCCGACAGCTCTGATGTGTACACGCCTTTGAGGGCAGGATCAAGCAGCCCTGGGGGCCCCAGTTGACCCTCAGCCCCATGGTCAGGGCCTCACTCTGCTCCGTTTGTGACTGCTCCCTGGTTTTCTTCCCTAATGGCTTCCGGCTCCCTGGCAGCCTCTGCCATAGGGTCCCCTCTCTGTCCACCCTAGAGTTCACCCCCCGAGGTGCAGAGGGGGCTCTAGAACCTTCCTTTACTGGTACAATCTTTCCACAGGAGCCTGCTGGGGACGGCACCTTAGGCTGGGAGGTGGCGGTGGATGTGCTCCAGACGCCGGTACGCCCACGCGGGGACACATGGGTTGGGGGTTGGGGGCCACCACGGGGGACCAGAAGATTGGGTGCTTCTGAAGTGATGAGGCAACTTTCCAGGTTCAAAATTCTTTATCTCCTGAAGTGGACCTGATGTCTAGGCTGGCTCCTCAGGCAGCCGCCCCCCCCCCGCCCCCCCCCCCCCCCCCCAGACCCTGGTCCTGGCAAGGGGGCTGAGAGCCGTGCGCCTTTACAACAAGTGGCCCCAGAGGCTATGTCCTGGTGGGAGGCAGCCTGCACTGACCGGTACCTTGAGATCTTACCCCCTTCCTTGCATTCAGTTAGCGAGTCCTGTGTTATTCCAGAGAGTTCTGTAGCAGCTACAGGTACCCACTCTGGTGGTGAGAGCACTGACTTTGCAGTGCTCAGACGGGCCTGGAGTGAAGTCAGGCTCCCCCACAGTGGAGATTGTTGGCAGTGCCTCAGTTTCCCCATCTGTGTAGAGAGGATAATATTAGTATCCTCCCTCCAGGGCTATTGAGAGGAGGAGGTCAAATAATGCAAATCACTAAGGAAGGTTAGTGCATGCCCAGGACCCCGCCTCTGGCTGCCCCTGGTCCTGGACGGCCCAAAGGTCAGGGTGTCCTCAGGGAGCATGCGTAGTGCCTGGCCACCAGCTAAGGGGCCAGCCAGGTAGTGTCTCAGACCCGGCCTCAACCTCAGAAACCCCCAGGTCGGGAGGTTAGACACACAAGGTAGAAGTACAACCAGGTCCAAAACGGGGTGGAAGCTACGTGTGCCCCCCAGGCACGCCAGGGCTTTAAAAACAGGATTTCGGGGGCGCCGGGGTGGCTCAGTCGGCTGAGCATCCGACTTCGGTTCAGGTCACGATCTCACGGTTTGTGGGTTCGAGCCCCGCGTCGGGCTCTGTGCTGACAGCTTGATCAGAGCCTGGAGCCGGTTTCAGATTCTGTGTCTCCCTCTCTCTCTGACCCTCCCCTGTTCACACTGTCTCTCTCTCTCTCTCAAAAATGAATAAAACATTGAGAATTAAAAAAAAAAAAACACGATTTGGGGGCATTCTGAGCTCAAAACAAAAATGAGTCATACAGGGAAGGAGTTGGCAGAGGTGAGGGTGGGGACGCGTCAGAGTGACCGGCCACATCCCTTCAGCATGTGAAGGCCTGGAGGCCAAAGCCACTCACCTCCTGTGTCCTGTGTCCCTTTTAGGCTTCTGCCGATGAGACGTTCTCTGGTCTCCAACCTCTGTTATGGTCCTCCCGTCCCCAGAGTCTTCCTGCCGCCTCCTCAGCTCAGCCAACACCAGAGAAGTCTCCCAGCACCTTGGAATAAAGAGACTCGTCCCCCAGATTTGTGAGAATGGCCAGGCTCCAGATGCCGCCCTGGGGGAAGCCAGAGGGCTCAGACGGCCTTCAGCCAGCCTGTTCCCAACTCTTCTCCTCCCGGTGCCTGAAAACTGGGGGTGGAAACCTCCACCGCAACCCCCTCAGAGGTGTCTGGAAGCACAAACAGGAGTGGGCTTTAGGGGAAACAAAGTTTTATTCAGATGCAAGAAATGGTGTGTTTTGCATTGTGTCCTTGTGTTTTAACCTTGAGGTTATCCATCCATTCATCTGTCCATCCACTGATCCATCTTTCCATCCATCTACCCACCCACCCACCTATCCATCCACTCAGCAGAAATCTGAGAGCCCAGACACAGGTAACACACAAGGAGATGCTGGGCAAGCACCCACGCTCACGGAGTGCGCCTTCCCTTTGGGAAAAGAGACGGCGCACACAGGCGTACAATACATCACAGAATATAGTGGACGCAATAAGCACCGTGAGGAATAATAAAGCAGAGCCAGAGGATAGTGAATGAAGGGAGATGTGCTGTTTTAGGTGGAAGGACCGAGAGAGGCCAGCGTGAGGGGTGGCGTGGGAGCAGAGACCAAGGGCAGCGAGCGAGGGGCCGGGTGGTACCTGGGTCAGAAGCGTCCCAGGCATTGCAAACTGCAGGTCCAAGGCCAGGGATGGAGACTATTAAAAAAAAAAAAAAATGAAAAAAAGGCAAGGGGATGCATGTGGGTGAGCGGAGTGAGTGAGGGGAGGTGCCAGGAGAGGAGGGAGAGGCGGAGGGCTCAGGGTTGATCGGTCAGGCCTCATGCTAAGGCAGGGCTTTGACTTTGTTCCGAGCCGGAGGGCAGGCCCTGGAGGGTTTGAGCAGGTGCATGCAGCGGGCATGCAGAGAGAAACGCAGGGGTCTCTTGCCAGCTTGGGGAAATGACCGGTGGTCACGGTGCTGGTAGTGAGAAGCGGCCAGGGCAGGGCAGGGTGGACAGGTCATGTCACGGAATCTGCTGAGGGGCCAGCTGGGGTACCCGGGGCAAGGGGAGGAGTCAAGGACGACTTCCGAGCTGCGGGTATGGGGACAGGGACCCTGGGGAGGAGCAGCAGGTGAGTAGGGGTTATAATCTGAGAACTCGGCTTTGAGGAGTCAAGGTGGAGAGGTCTCTTCAACCTTGAGAGGGAGTCACACACGGGTATCTGGTCAGGATCATGGCTCCGGACAGGGGATGCAAAGGTGGGTGGCCCAGGCTCTGGGTGGACTAGACATCCCAGGGGCTTCCCGGGCCAACCAGGAAGTGCACGTAGCTGGAGAAGACGCAAGGCACATTTCAACTGTCAAGTACTGCCCAGAGGTGGGTGAGGGGGGTTGGGAAGGGGAGGTCACTGGTGCTCTTTACCAGAGGCCTCCGGTGAGAGAGAGTAATCGGAAGGTGGTGGAAGTGAGGGCCAGAGAGGATGGGTGGAGGGGGTTAGGGAGGGCGCCGATTCCAGGGAGTCCAGCTGGACCCGGGCAGCGGAGTACAGGAGGGGGGCTCCTCCCATCAGGAGGCTTCAGATGAGACATGTTCCAGCTGGTGGGGACAATGAGATGCAGAAGAGAAGAGACAGGCACCAACAGGGACCCTTGCGTGGGTGGGTGGGAGTGAGTGGGGGGCGAGCCTCCAGCGCCCTGGGTGGGAGCTCAGGCATCACATCCCAGCTGACAGAAGGCAGGGCGCACCGCGGGGTCCCTGGGAGAAGGTGGCGTTCTCTTCTGACTGGTTATCTTTTCTCAGAGACAAGGTCCCAGGCTGGGGTGGGGGGCGGGGGGAGGAGGAAGGGGTCTTGGTGTTCAGAGGAGAGGGCTAGCCATGGGGAAGTCGCAAGAGCGAAGAGTGAATGGGCAGCGAAATGGGGCCGGATTGCCAGCACAGGGGCCACCGAGGTTTGCGGGCGTCGATCTGCAGCGAGGCCGCCATTCGGTGTGTTTTGTCTCCGTCCCCGACCCGCCGCGTGGCTGCGGGTGCGCGCTGGAGGGCTCTGCGGTCCAGGCGCCTCTTAGCCTGGCTGTCCCCAAAGCCCCTGCCGTCCTCAAAGCCCTTTCGCGACCCCACACGCCGTCCTTCCATGGACAGATCTGCTGGAGACTCATTCACAAGGACCCCCTCTCCCCCGCCTTCAGAGAAGCGAACGCACCTGGGCACCCAGCGTTAAGCAGCAAAGCTGGGATTCGAATTCACACGCAGGGTCGATGTTCTCCCTTCAGGGCAGCAGGGACGTGTTTAAGAAAGTCATGCGTCCCAGATGGTGGGGAAAACCCCAAAAAACAACCTGGGCAGTTGGGGGATGTGCCTCAGGTGTCCTGTGCCTTGGTAGGACTAAGGTTTTGTACCGTTCAACTGTAGTGACTTGCTGCCTCCCACTGGCTGATTTTGGTATTGCATCCAGACTGCAGGTGCCCAGGATTTGCTTAGCCTGCTAAGGGTTCACCGCTGGGACCCAACCACGCCTTATTGAAGGGATTTGATGGGGCTTCTCACACACACACACACACACCCGTTTTGATACGTGAGAAAATGGAAGCCAAGAGAGGTGTCTTTAAAATTCCGTCTGTACTTCTGGACTCCATCGGCTCGGGTGTTCATTCATTCAGTAAGCATTCATGGAACACCTACTCGGTACCAATTAGTTTTAGGCATAGGATTCAGCAGGAAACAAGGCAGGAGACAGCATTGCTCTCACGGAGCTGCCCTTTGGGGGTTGGGGGGAGGGGGACAGATAGTAAACAAGCAAATGGGTGCTGTGGAGGAATTGAAAGAGAGAGTGGCTGGAGAGGGTGCTCGGGAGATGCCATTTGAGGAGAGACCTGATGGCCAAGAAGGTTGGGAAAGACACTCCAGAAAGAGGGAACAGCACTGCAAAGGCCCTGAGGCTCTGCAAGATTTGGGCAGGGTCCAGACCCTGTGGAGCCCAGTGACACCCCAGCCCATGGCCATCCGTGGAGACATGCAGCGGCCAGAGCAGAACGTGGTTGACCTGCTCTCAGCGAGTCCGCAGCCTCCCTCCGCCCCACCTTAATCACGCAGCTGGCTGTCCTCCAAGGTCCTCCTCTCTTGGCTTGTGTGACACCAACCTCCAGGGGCAGGAAAAGCCAGGATTATTCTCCCGTTACGATTAAGGCTTAATATTCAAACTTGAGTTGTTTCTGGTTTGGAGGAACTCACTGGTCGGTCAAAAGCTAGAGTAGGAAATGCTGGAATGTGGCGTCAAAGGTCAAGGTCCACATTTCTGGGACCTGGGATGCAGGAGAGAACCTGAAGCAATGTATTCCATTCTGTTCGTGGCTGTCGCCAGGTTGTAAGTGTGTGTTTGTGACCCTGTCTGTGGCCAGTGGTGAGCCACTCTTGCAAATGTGTGAAATGGTGTTTACAATGAATGTAAGTTTCTATACATAGTATGAGTATGCCTTCTTCAAAATCTGTGAGTGGAGTTCCAAGAAATAATAAATGTTGGAAGCAAAATAAGTCCCTAAAGTGGCAATTTCGACATGTAACTTGAATACTCCCCAGTCATGTTAGCTGGTATTTCCCAGTGTTTGAATATTTGCTATAAGCTATCGTTCTTTGTAAAGCAAAATATTTCATCATTTAAAAGGAAAGTTTTATGAAGCAATGTGTATCCTAATATCCAAAGTGAAGATATGTATGGACACACATTTAATTCATCCAGCCTCAATGCAAGATGAAACAAGCATTTCCACTCCTGAAATACTTATCATAAAAACAAAGCCCAAAAGCAATTAATGCTTTACATGTTCTAAATTTTCATTTTACTTTTTTTTTAAATTTTTTTAATGTTTTTTATTTATTTCTAGGAGAGAGAGGGAGAGAGAGAGAGAGAGAGAGAGAGAGAGAGACAGCGTGAGCAGGGGAGGGTCAGAGAGAGAGGGAGTCACAGACTGAAACAGGCTCCAGGCTCTGAGCTGGCAGTCAGCACAGAGCCCGACGCGGGGCTCAAACCCACGAACCGCGAGATCATGACCTAAGCGAAAGTCGGACGCTTAACCGACTAAGCCACCCAGGCGCCCCTTCATTTTACTTTTAAATAGTAAACATTCATGATATTATATTCTATCTTAAAAATAATTTCTATTTGGCATTTGCTTTGGGTTACTGTTCTGCTTTTTATTTTATTGTATTGCTTTAGACATTTTTTAATGCTTCTTATTTTAAGAGAAAGAGAGAGAGAGCACATGAATTGGGGTAGAGGCAGAGAGAGAGGAGAGAAAAAGAGAGAGAGAGAGAGAGAGAGAGAGAGATTGAGAGAGAGAATCCCAAGCAGGCTCCATGTTGTCAGCACAGAACCTGATGAAGGGCTTGATCTCATGAACCATGAGATCATGACGTGAGCCAAAATTAGGAGTTGAATGCTCATTGGAGTGAGCCACCCAGACGCCCTGAGCTCTTTTTCTTAATAAGATCTACATTCTTCTTTTTTTTTAAGTTTATTTATTTATTTTGAGAGTGAGAACAAGTGGAGAAGGGGCAGAGAGAGAGTAAGAGAGAAGATATCAAGCAGGCTCCACACTGTCAGCTCAGAACTCAATCCCATGAACCATGAGATCATGACTTGAGCCGAAATCAAGAGTTGCCTAAGCAACGGAGCCACCCAGGTGCCCCAATGTTTCCCTGTCTAATGTGTTCTATTATCAAATGTCTATATAAGGTAGAGATCATTTTTGCATTTTTTTGAAATATATCATCTTGTCATAGTATATGGTCTGATTATAATAATAAACTATGCATTTGTTATTATAATTTTAACACAGATAACCTATGAAACATTTGTTATAACCTTCTTACAGAAAGATGTTCACAGTTTTTATTATTATGGCCAATCATTATTTTTTTCCAAAACACATAAAGTGTTAGGAAAAACATGGCATACTGTGTGATTTAAGGAATTTCACAAAATTTCCTGGGATTCTGATATCTCATACCCAAACCCCAAAGAGCCGTATCTGTTGGGGATTTGGAAATGTTTTCTGAAGCTCTACATCTCTTGACTCTGCATGCCACCCTGTTGCAAAGCCACTGCTCTAATGGCCAGACCTTCATCATCTCCCTGCCCTTATGAGTCAGTCCCCAGGCTCCTCTAACCGTCCCTCCACAGCCCTCAGAGAGATCTTTCTAAAGTGAAAATGGACTGTCATTTCTTTAAACCCTTCCCCGGATCCCCGCA